CGGTAGCGCTATAGTGAGCCTGAGCGCAAAGTCGCTAATCCTGCGCTCCGGCTGCACGCACCGCTCCTCCGCCTCCCTAAATAATCCAACCATCGTAAAAAGGGTTGAAACCATCGTAATAGCCTTCAAGAGATTACCTTTGGCTACACCGAACCATGCCCACACCCCGGCGAATAAGCCAACAAGACTTGTTTTGGTCCGGACGCTCGTAATCCTTTGCTAAACATGGTAAAAACCAGAAAAGGATTACCTCCCACATGTTTGATTATAAATATATTAGCATGCATGTCACAGAATCAATGTCGTGCACTCTCTCCCCGCCAAAAAAAAGGTCGTGCACTCCCTGCATAGTTAGAGGAACATAGTAACATACAAACATTGGTAGTAAACCACTATGTTGTAGTAGTAAATTGTAAAAGCCTTTTACTATCACGTACTACATTTTCTGAAAGGTGAATTACTACTTTTGGTACAAGCGTTTACCACCAGCAGCAATACTTTACTAAAAGCATGCGATGCATCTCAATCAGCCATAGAATAAGGTCAATAGTAAAAAAATTAAGGGATTACGACCTACATGCAAAATCACTCCTACATGCCCCATCTTTTTTAATGAAAAAAATACCGTTTACCATTGATCTTGTGTAGGCATTGGTCGTAACTACCTGAAGTTTTTTACTAGATTTAGTGGTGGTTTTACGAAGGTGGGAGGAGCGCAGATTTGGCTAGGTGGTTGCCCGCTTACTCTCTGGCCGGAGCGTACGATAAGCGTGTTTACGCTCAGGCTCATTTTAGCGACCCTATATATATATATATATATATATATATATATATATATATATATATATATATATATATATATATATATATATAGTACAATTATGTTTTATATATATACTTATTTTTTATCTTCCATCGACATTGTAATTATAACGCATGATTGGTTAGCGGCAACACTAGGACCTTTGTAATTCACAAGAAATATAAACGATTTTCTACAACATTGTGATTAGGTGTGCAGTCGCATTCACACTGAACAACCTTGGGAATTAATATTCCCCTTGCTAATGGCTGTTAACTTCATGGAAAAAAACATACAAATCTCAATGATTATGAAAGCCCTCTGCAGCATGCAAGAGAATGGTTAATATACTGTTCAACTTGCTGCTTTATAAAAGAAACACGGAAGATACGACGATAAGCAGGACAAACCAGATATAATGTACATTAGGTACGTTATATATTTTCAGCTTTGGATGAGCTCAAGGTACCCTCTAAAAATATGTATGGTTGTCTTGAAGATACATCAGCACTGATCTAAGCTTAATTAGTGTCTTGATTAGTTAAGTGGTGAACCTGCCATCAATTATTGCTGTACACCTGGCTGCTTTTGCCCTTTTTTGTGGCATATATTTGTAACTTCTGTTTTGCCAAAAAAGAGATGAAGAAACTTTCTAACTGAGGCTACCTATCAATCATTCAAAGTGATACAAAGAGTAGTCGGGGAGAATTGAAAGAATGGGGTTTGCTATATATGAAGAAGATCACCCCTGGACCCTGGTGTTGAGTCACTCTACCCTGATTCCTGAAGCAAAAGACTGTTCTTTTTTACAGCAAGAGCTCAACTACGATTCAAAAGCCGGGTGATGCAAGCTAGATTAATTTTAGTATTCGCCATCGCACTCGATCGAGCTGGATAACAGCCGGGTGATAGCAACTCAACCCTCAAATATGTTATGTGTTGTTTAAGCCCGGCCGGTGACTGACTAATTGCACGCCTCATTCTTATCCATCGAACCACATCGAACCACATGCACTGCGGTCTTTGCGCGGTGCAGATTCAATGAACCGGCAAGGATTGATTAAGTCCTCGATCGATATGTGGCGTGCTATCAAGCTAAATCTTAGGCTACAAGACAAATCATTTAGTAGTTCTTTTTTATGGTGCAATTGATTTAATTAGTAGTTGATGCAACTGCTGCATTGTTAACAAGAACGAACGACTTGCTCGTCTAGCTTGC